CAGATTATGAAGGGCTTTGAATGTCATGCTTCAAAAGTTAAATTTAACAAGTGTATCACAGTTTATCAAAATGTTGTCCATGGATCACTTGCATCAGGGTAAAATATAAGTTTAGGGCCCTTAGTCATAAAAAAATTAGTAGACTAAATAAGCATCTTCTTTAAAAAAATGGAATGGGAAGAAATGGAATAGAACAGAAAGCAGACTGCATGTAGTAAGAGTATTGGTTTTTATCTTCATGTGCAAGTATATGGATTGAGCAGAGAAATAAAATGTATTTTCTACTCTGAGTCAGAGTCAAATAAAAAACATGGATCTAGATGCTTGTTAAAATACACAGTCCAGGCCCCACACCAAACCTATCAAATTAGTGGGAATGTAGCTGGAGTCCCCATTTTTAACAGGTACTAAGGGATTCCTACACACATTCGAATTGAGAACCACTACTGAAGATTATTTAGAACCACTGAAGGATGACAAGCAGAATTCTGAAATAATTCATTCTGGTTCTAAAATGGTCTGTTTGGATGCAGAGTATAAACTGATTGGAGGGTGATCAAGAATGGAAGCAGGAACACAAGTTTAAAGGCTACTAACAGTGGTCCAGGCTAAAAAAGATGTAAAGTTACATTCCTACAATGGTAATGAGAAAAATGGAGATGGACAGAGATGGTCAGGGTAGATGAACAAAACAGTTTTTCTGGAACAGTGAAGGATTCATGAAGAAGAGCAGTAGAAAACAGGTAGGAGCTACATGTGGAAGACTCTGAATTCGGGGCCATTTAATTTTTAAACTATTTAAGGGGACTTTGCAACCTTTCAATTACGATAATATTTAAGAGCACTGTTCTAAGTAGATTATTCCAATAGGATCAAAAACTACAACTCAACTTATGAGATGATTAAGTCCTAAACTAGAGAGGTAGCAAAAGGATTAGGGGAAGGAGTAAATGTTTAAAAAAGAAAAAGAAATAACTAAACAACAATAAAAACCACAAAATACTGTGAAGGATCAATTGGCAGAGCTGTTCCTTCCTCAAATCTGTATTCATCTAGGCAGCACAGGAGAGAGAAGATTGTGAGCCTGGGAGCCAGGCTACCTGTGTTGAAATCCTAGCTCTACATTTACTAGCTATAATATCTTTAGCAAATTACTTAAATTTTCTGTTTTCATTTCTTTATAAAATAAAAATAATAATAATAACTACCTCATAAGTTATTATAAGAGTTAAATGGAGTAAAATATGGAAAGCACTTATAATGGAGCACTTATTAGGAGCTATTCTAAGTGTTATATGAGTGTATGCAATTTTACTGGATTGGTAAAATACACAACACTACCCATCCCTAACCCAAAACCTTCTGGCCCATCTGCCTTCCGACTCCTGTATCTTTCTTTTTAATGCATTTTCCCTTGAGTCAGAAGATTTGGATTTGAATTCAAGCTTTGCCTCTTGTACCTGCCACACAACTTGGAAAACGTACATAACCAAAGTTTTGGTTTCCTCTTCTGTGAAACAGTACTGTTGTTAATGAGTAAATAAAATAGTGAACATAGAACACTTAACATTTACTCCTTGATAATACAAAAAGTACTTAATGGTAGCTATTATTTATAATCTCTTTGTTTTATACTAAACTATCCTTCTTTTATACTACATCTTGATTTAGATGGCCTCTTTAAAGGTTTAGTCTTCTACTTTAGCAATGAATGAAAATTTTAAATAACATACTCTTAGTGTTCATACCATCAGTTCTGCATTTGGTTTGCTCCTCCTACAACCCTTCTCTTCAATCTAGTCTATGTGTGTAGTACCAGGTAGACCTAGCAGAATGAGTCTTCTTCACCACACTGCCCCCTTCTTCTCAAAATGTGGCATTATTTAAATACAAAATGATGACATTGTTAGAAATGTGCTTTGAATAGTTCTTCCCAGACCTTGAAAGGAATTTAGATCAATTCATCTGTCTTTTCTTCTCCACATCCCCTCAGGGGCCACAGTATGTAATTCAGGAGTTGGCTGTAGGGGTAAAAGGTAAACAGAGCCAACCAGCCTACCTGGCCTCTAGCAACTCAACATCACTCAACAGCCACAAAGGAAACAAACCCACTACAGTGAATAGACGAGAATCTACAACAAATGTCCCAGTTAGGGGGTTTTTAAATAGGAAAAAGCCAAATTCATGCATATACACATGGTTTGCTATGATAAATCACAATTACTTCTTCTGTTATGAGAAATTGCATTTGGCTGAAAAAGGGGCACAATGAAGATATCTCAACAGTTTATCATCAAGGCAATGATTTTCTAAACCATATTCCAGGGAACCCCAAGGTATTGTAGGGTTAGAACTGAAAATTAAATGCTTGTTTGTTCAGATAGGAAATATTAGGCCTGAAAGAATCTCAAAAGGTCATTCAATTGACTCTGAGCGGTAAGGAGGGAAAACTACAGTTAAGACTATACAATGCCCACTGGCCAAATGGTGTGGTGTCTATGATGCTTTGGCAAAAATTCCCTTATCCTATGATTTGATGCGGGCACATGTATACTTCAATGTACAATTTTACATATTCTTTGTGGAAGTCAATGTATAAGAGTATGAAATGAAATTGTGCTTTTTTTGTGTACAAGGATATTTATTTTAGCATTTTTAATAATAGATAAACTTACAACTAATATGTTCAATAGTTTGTAGAGTTGAAAAGATGTCCATGACCTATTCATTGAATAAAGCTATTATCCAAGTATGTTTTTTTTTAAGATTTTATTTATTTATTTTTAGAGAGGGAAGAGAGGGAGAAAGAGTGAGAGAGAGAAACATCAATGTGTGGTTGCTGGGGGCCATGGCCTGCAACCCAGGCCTGTGCCTTGACTGGGAATCGAACCTGCGACACTTTGGTTCACAGCCCGCGCTCAATCCTCTGAGCTACACCAGCCAGGGCACCAAGTATGTTTAATATTCCAAGAAGTATATACTGTATATCAGCCAAGTGAGATTGAAAATCTACCCTGTATTTGATTATTTTATAATTTGTATGTATTGCTTTTGTAATAAAAAAACTTTTTTAAAACTCAAATTTATTAAGAAGTTTGAGCACTTTATAAAAGCCTCATAAAGTGTTTTTAAGCATATGAACAAAATGCTTTTTGCTTTGCTAATAATTCTAATCATAGTATTGATGGGAACAATTCTTCATTTCTTTTGGTTATCTCTTTCAATCAGATGACACAGAAGAATGGATCAGTGATCAAGAATACAGGACAATGGAAATCACCCAATTGGAAGACAAAAAAGAAAAAAGAATTTAAAAGAATGAGGATAGCATAAGAGACCTCTGGGACAATACCAACTATACTAACATTCATATCATAGGGTCCCCAGAAGAGAGAAAGGGACAAGAAACCTATCTGAAGAAATAATGGCTGAAAACTTCCCCAACCTGGCAAAAGAAACATATCCAAGTCCAGGAAGCACAGAGAGTCCCAAACGAGATGAACCCAAAGAGACCTATATCAAGACATAATAATTAAAACATTAAAAGTTAAAGGTAAGGAGAGACTTTTAAAAGCAGCAAGAGAAAAACAACTAAATACATATAAGGGAATACCCATAAGACTATCAGCTTATTTTTCAACAGAAACTTTGCAGGCCAGAAGGGAGTGGCAGAATATATCTATGAAAGAAAAAAACCTACAACCCAGAATACTTTGAAGGTTATCATTCAGAATTGAAGGAGCTATAAAGAGTTTCCAAAACAAAAGCTAAAGGAGTTCATCGCCACTAAACTAGTATTACAAGAAATGTCAAAGGAAATTCTTTAAGAGGAAAAGGAAAGACCAAAACTAGAAATAAGAAAATATCTGAAAGAAAAAATATCTCACTATTAAAGGCAAAACATATAGTAAAAATATTAGACTGACCACCTGTAAAGCTACAACTATAATGGCAATAAATACACACCTATCAATAATTACCTTAAATGTAAACAGACTAAATGTTCCATTCAAAAAACATAGGGTGTCTGAATAGATAAAAAAAAAAAAGATCCTTACGTATGCTGTCTACAAGAGACTCCCTTCAGATCAAAAGACACACACAGACTGAAAGTAAATAGATGGAAAAGGTTATTTCATTAAAATGGAAACAAAACAAAAAGCTGGGGTAGCAATACTTATTATACCAGACAAAACAGACTTAAAATCAAAAGTTATAACAAGAGACAAAGAAGGACCCAGCAATTTCACTTTTGGGCATTATCCAAAGAAAATGAAAACACTATTTCACAAAGATATAAGCACCACTATGGGACCTAGAATGTATTATGCTAAGTAAAAAAAGTCAGAGAAAAACAAATACTGCATCATTTTACTTATCTGTAGAATGAAAAGAGCTAAGATAAAACAAAGGAACAAGCAAAACAAAACAAAACAGACTTGTAGATACAGAGAACAAACTGATGGTTGCCAGAGGGTTGGGGAGTGGGGATGATAGGAAAAAAGGTGAAGGGGATTAAAAGGTACTAATTTATAGTTATAAGTAAGTCACAGGAATATAAGTACAGCACAGCAAATACAGTTGATAATATCTCAATAACTTTGCACAGTGACAGATGGTTACTAGACTTTTTGTGGTGATCTCTTATATGGTATATAAATGTCAAATTACTATGTTGTACACCTGAAACTAATATAATATTATATATCAGTGATAATTCCATTAAAAAGAGCTTTACTTTCCAGAATGTAAAAGAGAACACTTCAGAGCTTTTCTTATAGAATAACAGCATTTTTCCACTGATGTAAGAAAGCATAACAATTTTTCTCAACACTGTATTAGATTTTAAATTATTTCATTCTCAGACACGGGTATAACTCAACGAGTAGAAAAATGAGCACAGAACTTAAGATAGCTTTTAAAACATAGGTTTAAAATACAAATGAAAATCATAAATAAGTAAATATTCAAATATAAATGATTGTATCAAAAATACTTACTGTTAAAAGGATTGATTCCTGCACTTATTCTTGAAACAATAGCTTCTTTTACTTCTTTTTTCTTTACACATCGAATACCCAAATTTTGAAAACTAGAAGGAAAACACAGAACTTTCAGACTGCATTATAGTTAACACATAAATACTAAACACATAAATACTAAAGCATACTGCAAGTATCAAGCATATATCCAACAGTGAAGAGTAATCAATACTGTCAGATGGAAATGGTAAAGCATGTTATACATTTCCAATCACTATGATAAAAATGTGAGGGTAAAAAAAGTGGGGTTATATTTCTAACAAAACTGTTAAAAGAAAAATAACATACTATATAGGTTTTGCATACAGTATTTTATCATTATACCTTACTAGTATGCCTATGCCAAAAATACCAAAGTAGATAAGAATTAACAGAAAGTGACACCAAAAAACCAAAATTCCCCTCCTAAACAAATTCATTATCAAATCAATGACATCTGTATATTTGATAATGTGAAGCAAAAGTTGTAAAAAGATGCCCACAGGCTGAAGCTGACAGATATATTTTGTTGAGCCCATAACAATGTTGTCTACATTTAAAAAAATGTTCATGACTACTTTTCAGTTCATTTTTAAATGACTACTGACATTTAAAAATCAGGTAACTGCATATAAATGTCTGGATTTCTGGCTTCTTGAACATTTTAAAGGTCTGACAACAGTAGGTTGGTACAGCTGGAGCTGATGCAGGGCTGTCCAGTTTGCTACGGTGCCTGCTAGTCCTCGCAAACTTGACCCTCTCCATTCTACAGACATCTGATATTTGAGCCCTGACTTCACTGCTAGTAGTGGTGGAATGTATTTTATGCAGTATTATATGAAGTTATAATAATCATTCATCACAAGAAAGCACTGAAATGTATTTTTAATTAGAGATATGTTTGATACTAACAATAATATTTAACAAAAGTTTTATAATGTCATTTATGGAAAACTTCTCAATAGCTACAAATATTACTAATTTGCATGTGTACTATAGATGATGGTTGGGGGAACTCCCCTACCACCACCAGTCATACTTCTTCCCACATGGAAAAACCATGACATCATTAAAGTTGGGTGGGTGTGAATAAGGAAGCAAAATGACTATAACATCATCACTACTTGTTCAAACTTTACATGGCAATTTGCTACAGGAGGCTGCCTACCTTGTGTGCCCCCTTCATGCCCTTGCTGTCACATATCCATGCTCTGCACATGCACCACACTTGTGATTTTGTTAGCATCTAAAGTATCCTTACCTTCCTCTGCTGCCAATAATTTAAAAAAAGTATCTTAAATTCATAGTCTTTTCTTGAAACCTCGAAACCACAACCCTCTTCCTCAAAAGTATTCCATTTCTTTGAAAGGTTCTTAACTTGGTTTTCACTTTTTCTTTGACAAAAGATTTTAAAGAATCCTCTATCTTAATATATTTATACACTACTTGATTTAGTTTCATCTGAATCATTGTATTTGACTGCTATTCACAGAATATTAGTAGTAGAGATTTCTGAAATTCTGATATGAGGAAACCAAGGATCATAGAGATTACTTTAATGAATGACTCATTCATTCGTAGTTATTCAACAAGCTTTGGGGTTCCTACCACGTACTAAAAACTCTGGAAAATAATGGGGATATATAACCCTTCCCTTCACGTAACTCACTGTCTAGTGCAGAGGATGGCCAACTATGACCCATGGACTGAATTTGGCCCATCACTTGTTTTAAATAAAATTGTACTGGAACACAGGTAAATGGATTTGTTTATGTATTGTCTATGGGTGTGTTCATGCTGCAACAGCAGGGCTGAGAAGTTGCAACAGAGACCATATGGTCTGCAAAGCCTAAAAGATTTACTCTCTGGCCCTTATCAGAAAAAATTGCTAACCTTTAGTCTACTGAAACAGAGAGATATTGAGTAATCTCTTTCTCTCTCTCTCTCTCTCTCTCACACACACACACACACACACACACAAATGCTAAACTGAAACCACAATAATCTTTATAAAAGAAATGCACATGATGCCATGGGAGCCCTATGATGGGAATAAATTGTTCAATTCATTCAGAGGGGGCACAGAGACTTCTTGTAGGAAGTGATACTTATGAAAAGAAGTGAACTGGAGGAAGAGGAGAGTGAAAAGACTTCAGGCAGAAGGAAAACATGCAAAGGACCCTAAAGAAGGGCACTGAGCACAGAAAACTAAAGGAAGACCTTTGTGACTAGAGTATGGAGTTCAAGGAGAACACAGTATAACAGAAGGCTAGAAATACAAGTGCGTCATGTGATCTTTATAAAGAATGTTGTCCTAATTCCCAGTGTCACATAAAGCTATTAATATGTTTTAAGCAGAGATATAACTATCAGATTTGTATTTGAAAAGACCATGCTGAATAAATAAATTAATTTAATTTTTTAAAAGATTGCTTTGGCTATTCTGGAGGACATAATGGGAAGGAAGAGGCACAAAAACAGCTGATGTGAGAAGACCAGTGGGAAGGCTATTCTTTACAGCCCACATCTAGACTACAGTAATAGCAGTGTGGTAGTGATGGAGCTCACTGAGACAAGTGGGTAGATTCAGGAACTATTTTGGGAGATATCTGTTAAAAATTCAATGTGTGCACCTGTGTGAAAGGTAGTCCCAAAATTTAACTACCTGGAAGATTGAGAAGAAACAGCCAGGAAAGCAGGAAAACAGGAGTTTTTTCTCACAAAAATCAAGGAATCAGAATGTTTAGGAAGGAGTGATATACAGTGTAAAATGCTGCTGGGAGGTCAAATAATATAAATAGGAAATATTTCTTGCCAAGTTAGTATAATTAGATATTTTAGGTTTTGTGTTTTTACTGTAAGAACAATATTTTAAAGTATATTTTCTAAATGGTTACTACTAATATATAAAGAGGCAACTATTTTTTCCTATTGTAATTAGTTTCATTTTCCCCTAAACTCAGTACATGTTTATTGTAAGAAATGAATTATAGCCCTGAATGGTGTGGCTCAGTGGTTGGGCATTGTCCCATAAGCCAAAAGGTTGCCAGTTCAATTCCTGGTCAGGCCATATTCCCTGGTTGCGTGGGCCAGGTCCCTGGTTATGGATGTGCGAGAATCAACTGACTGATGTTTCTCTCCCCCTCCCCCTCTCTCTAAAATAAATAAATAAAACCTTTTATAAAATGAATTATAAAGTAAAAACAAGAAAAAACATGAAACCCCACAATCCTATCCATCCAGAGACAACTATTATTAATCCCTTAGTGTATATAGTACCATGGGTATACCTGCATTTATTTTAAACAAAAATATTATTAATCACATACTGTCTTAAACCTATTTTATTTACCTAACATTATAAATATCTTTCTGTGCAAAGACATACTGGCAATGTTATTTTTAGGCAACATAGGAGTACATTGTACAGATATACCAGTTTATATGACTAATTCCCCTTTATCATTTGGATTGCTTCTAACTTTTTGCCATTACAGAGTTGCAATGAACATCACCATAGCTAAGTGTTTGAACTGTTTAATTAATTGTTTCCTGAGGATAAATTCCTAGCAATAAAATTGCTACTTCAAGAGACATTCATATTTTTCAGACTTTTGCTATGCAGTTGTTAAAATTACCTATCAGGAAGGTTTAATTTATTTTCTCACCAACATAATGAGTGGGCCCATCTTCTGGCAGCATTACCAGCACAGTGATAAATAATTTTTAATCTTAGAACTATTGCTATATGTTAATTTGATTACCTGCCCTTTTCTAAATAATTATTCCAGTTTTCCAGTTGATTTTCTAACACCTGGCAATTTTAAAATGAAGTATTAGTAAAGAGATAGAGTAAAAATTTGTGAAAAACAAAATTTTTTCATTAATTGTTCACACTAAGAAAAATCACGTCATAAAATAATCTAATCAATATGTTTTTTTAAGATTTATTTATCTATTTCTAGAGAGAGAGGAAGGGAGGGAGAAAGAGAGAGAGAGAAACATCAGTGTCTGGTTGCCTCTCACACACCACAACCGGAGACCCGGACTGCAACCCAGGCATGTGACCTACTGGGAATCGAACTGGCAATCCTTTGGTTCACGGGCCAGCTCTCAATCCACTGAGCACACCAGCCAGGGCTCAATATGTTTACTTTAGGTGACGGTAAAGAAATATTCCTCCTACCATCATGAGCTATGTCTACTAATACAGAATAAAGCAGTGCTTCTAATGCAAATGGTAAGAAAATTTAAATGTAAATAGTAAAAATTTATAGTACGTGGAAGTAGAATGAGAAATTAGTTTTTTCTGCTAAAAAATATCAGATGCACATGGATAGAAAACAAAGCATCCCATGTTTACCTGATACCTGAAAATGGCTGTGATGTATACTTACAATAAAGGCCTGCGTTCTTGTCCAAATTCTGCTTCATAGTAGCCATCTCTGCAGTCTTTTCCTACTAAATCATGTGGATGAGGTTTAAATGGTTCATTCTTTGTTACCAATGTAATTCTCACTTTTCCTTTTCCACAATAGTTCATAATCTGAAAAGGGGGAAAATAAAATAGATAATCCATAAATATTGCCCTTTAAGAACTATCTAATAAATGAGAGTTCAATTCATATAATGTAGTTAGCACTAAACAAATAAAGTCCAACTGGCTGGCAACCACACTTTAGATGAAACTTCCCAGAGAATACCACTAGGGAAGAATTTACATCTCAGTTCCTTGGCATATTAATTTCAATTGGTCATATCATCTGATTCTGCTTATTTTCCTTTTAAAAACAAATAATATACCAAAACATTATCACAGAGCATGAGAAAATACTTAGATAAGTCACTGAATGCCAAGCTCTTAGATTGATTGTCATACCATAAATATCCTTTCAAAGTATGTATGTAAGCTACACTGAATATGATAGCACACCAATACAGAGGACCATTTTACTTAATACACTATGTGACATTTCATCTCACAAAAATAGTTGTTCATCAGTAAGCATATCCCAAGTGTTCACTGTACAGTAGGCAACAAATCAAGTTGAGTTTCACAAAATTGTTTTACACAGTAAGTACACCTAGAACACTGAGAATAAAGAGGAGAGTTAAGCATGGAAATAGGACACTCTGAGCACAGGGAGGAGCTAATGTTTAGTTTGGAAGCTAGCACATTTTCAAACATAAAGCAGGGAATATAAAAACCAGCTTACAACAATGAAGCAAGGTAGTTAGGCAACAATGGGTAATTTTACAGATCAGAGAACACTAAAATCCATAATTCTGAATTTAAACTTAATTTGAAAAGAAACCAGGAAGTATGTATTGCCTTTTTGAATGAAAGAGAGAGTAACCACTTAAAATTGCAATAGGGGCTGATGTAGAACTCAAGATGTAAAGTATTTAGGACCTCCTGGAATGGTAAAATACAGGTCTTAGAAATATTTTAGAGAACCTATAGAATAAGCTCAATTATGGAAAAGAGTTAATAATTGCTCTTCAAAGATTAGAAGAACAGTGCTTTCTTATTTACCTTTTATTAGCATTTCCCCTATTTTAACATTTAAGTAAAAGGACTTAGATAACTCAAATCCATATTACTGCCAAAAAATGTGACAAAAATTAGGAACTTGAAATTGAATAACGTTGCCATTACCTTATCTTATAATTTAGCATTCCCTTTAAGTTCAATAGAATAAACTTTGTAAATAATCTAGTTATAAAACAGTGAATTAATATTTGTTGATGAAAGAGTAAATAACACTTTTCATAATCTACTTTGCCATTAAGGTTTTTAATTGGCATTTAAAGGATAAAAATTATTTAAAAATCAAATGAAATATAGTATATTAATATAAATATGTTTTACAAATATAGTATATTGCCAAAATCATTTTGGATCAACAACTATTTTAAAAGTGACTATATTTCAAATTGGTAAATGAAACCCAGAGTATCAGGGATAGGCAAGAAAGGCAAGGAAAAAGGGGGCAAAATGTTCATTCTCTTTTTCCATAGCCCCTAGTTTATTTACCCAATTGGTTACAAGAAGAATTTTAATTGAGTTCCCAAGGCCATGTTTTTAATCTGCAGGACAATTCTGCTCACTGCTGGCAGGAGAGAATGCTTTTTTCCTCATGAGTGCAGTGTTTCATGACAGAAATCATCACCCTAAAGCTGCCATGTACACTAAGCATTGTGAATCCCTCTATTTAGGTTAACACAAGAAATAATGAATAACCATCAGCAGGGATGAAGAATCCATACTGTATTTCAGAAATGACCCTAGTCAGCTATCTAGTACAAATTAATTAAAAAGAAAAGAAAAAGGAAAGCCCATGGAAATGACTGTAAAGAAGGTGGGCCTTCAATGTAACGGCTGTAGCTAAAGTACGAAGCAACTAGAGTGAGACACATGAAGGAGAAAGGTCTATTACCTGGATAGATGGGTATGTTCGGTTGTTGTCTGTGCTGTGCTCCCCTGGAATGCTGCCTGCCGATCGCCCTTCACATTTGTATCTAAAACGCATTCCCCGCTGCCTGGGTTGTTCAATTATCTCTATATATGGGTTATAACCACCTGAAATTTTTTAAAAAAGGGAGGGAGGATGAGATTAGGAGGCAATAATAATAGGTTTTGACCATTTCATTTTTTTCCCAAAACATCAGACTAAAAGATTTTACCTCTCAATATTAAGTAACAAGGTTAAAATGTAATTAAAATTGAGTGGTAAAAACATCCTTTACTCCCATTTAAATTGAGTTCCTATACAGTGTTAACACAAGTCATTCAAATCACATTTATTGGTTAGCACTTTATCATTTAATATCTATAGTAATGCCAATGTGAAGTTCTTTTTTTAAAAATTTTTCTTTTATTGATTATGCTATTACAGTTGTCCCAATTTTCCCCCGTTGCCCCCTTCCACCCAGTACCCCCAACTCCCTCTGGCAATCCCCCCTCCTTTGTTCATGTCCACGAGCACCTGGGAAATCCCAGAGCCTGTGTACCCAGCAGACAGTTACAGACTACGTCAGAGCACCACCCAACCACCTCCACAAGCCACGAAGGGAGGTGGTTGCTGGCCAGGGGTCATAGCCAGTCCTACCAGCTGTCTGGACTGAGTAAATCCCTCCCATTGACCTGCTGACAGCAATCAAGACTCATCTAAAGAGGAAGGAGTACTCAGCCCACACAGAGGGTGCACCTCGAGTACCCAGCCTGGGGGATAGGGGAGGCTGTGCCACTGGACCCTATAGGATACCTACTACATTATTAGACCGTGCTACTAAGACATAGAGTCAAAGCAGCTCAACCTAATACATAGAAGCAAACACAGGGAGGCTGCCAAAATGTGGAGACAAAGAAATATGGCCCAAATGAAAGAATAGATCAAAACTCCAGAAAAAAAAACTAAACAAAATGGGAGATAAGCAACATGAGGTTCTGAGATAACCACTTCAGGGATACCAGCTTCTCACATGAGACCAAGCAGAAGGGTTTCTCCCAAGATTCCCCCAGAAGAGGCAAGAACAGAGTTTTCGGGAGTACATTGTTGTACTCCAAAAGTGAGTTTAACTGCTTGATTTTACATTAAGCTCTTAACAGTGGACTAAAAGACCTCAGTGAACATGAAAATGCATTTAAGTCCTTACAGAAAGATATGTAAGTTTTTTATATCTCCATTGGAATGTTTGTGGACTTATATATAATATATCAAATCAAGTTCCAGAAGGGACTTTAGGCTCAACATAATTTTCAGTCAGTCTCATCTAAACTTTTTCTAAAGAATAAGATATAACAAAAGAAAATTATTTACTTCCTATAACAAATATAATTTGAAATATGCAACTTTAGAATAAACTACCACAACACAGATGGATCTCAAAATAATTATGCTGAGGGGAAGACACTAGACAAAAAGAGCACATACTGTATGATTCCATATATATATACACACACATATAATCATAGAATATGTAAACTAATCTGTAATGAAAGAAGCAGACCGGGGTGTGGAGTGGGTGAGGAAACTGGGGGATGGGGAGTATGTTAAGTATCCTGATTGTAGTAATGATTTCAAGGTTGTACACAGGTCAAAACTTACCAAATTGCATCCTTTAGCAGGTGTAATTTATTATATTTCAATAAAGTTGTCTGAAACATATACAACTTTACCCCCTCATAGCCAAATTGTGGAAACAAAAGTTCAATAAAGACACTCAAGTGTCCTTACAAATAAAGTACATAGCAATGTGTCTTTATTTCATAAACATGGAGAGAACTTCCATTGGGAAAAAACCTTCCTCAATCAGTTTGGTGATTTCTAAATTGCCACAACTAGATAACCATTTTGTGTGTGTGTGTGCTCACTTCAGCAACCTACATATTAAAATTAATATTCATTTTTTTATTGTAGACTTATCCTGTACTAGAATGCAAATAAATCTTCAGAAAGGACAACACAGTGGGTCTTATCAGTGTCTTTTGGATCCTAACCAGCCAAATCTTAACAGTGAAAACCTTGAAAATATTATTAAACTTCCCATTCTATAAAATGAGTAATAACAGTACTACCTCATTGGGTTGTTGTGAGGATTAGAAATAAAGTATTAAGTTCTCACCAAGTTATCTCACATATAACAAATTATAAACAGTGTCAATTATTTTAGATGCTTTCTCAAAAACAATGATTACAGTGATACAAAGAAGGTATCACAACTGCCACTTTCAAAGATTTTAATAACAGTGAGACAAATACCACAAATTGTCAGATTACAAAAGGGATGAACAAAATTTTGTTTATGCTGATAAACTTCTGCATAAAATGATAATGAAAACAAATGATTCAGGAATACCTAATATATATCAAAGGAAAAATGGAGTTAAAGAGACAAAAGGGTGGAGTGGGAGGAGGGAGAAGGGGGGTGGGCAGGGAGGCATTCTAGGTGAAGGGAGCCATGTGTCCAAATGTGTATCAGTACAGCAGACAGAGCCCTGATGGAAGAGGAGAGTTTAAGAACCAGTGTAATTGGGGTGCATTTTCCATCCTTAGAAAGAAACACAAAAGACAGAGTACATTTGGGAATTTGGATTTCATACTATGAGTGTCAAAGAATCAGTGAATGGTCTTACGCAGGGGAATCACATGCTCAAATTGGCATTTTAGAGTAAGAATTCTGGTGGCAATGAACAGGTTGAAAAGAGAAAGCAAGGTAATCAATCAGTTTTAGAGTCTGTTATGGTAATACGAGCAGTGATGACGTTATATCTGAAATATAGTAGTGATAATAGGAATGAAGGATTATTTAGAAGATAAAATTGACAATACTTGGTGACTGACTGAACATCAGTGTTAAGAAAAAGAATCAATGATGGCTTCATAGTTTCTACTTTGGGTTACTGAGTAATGCATTACTGTTACCTTTAACTTTATTATGTTTGATTCAGACTCCTTGTGTTTGAATCTACCACCTATTTGTTTATTCAAAAGACAAAGGGTAGGAAAAATAATTGACTTTAACCTAATCAATTTCATAATACTTATTTCCACTTTATTAAAAAATGTAAGGCATGTAGATGAGTAATAATCTCATATCTTTATACATTTTTGTATTTTAAGTAATTAAAACACATTTTATTTTCAAATATTTTACATGCTTATATATCCTTGTAGAAATATTTTTAGGAAAGCACATTTTCCTCACAATAACTCAAAATTCTCAAATGTAATTTTTAAGTGATATTTTAAATCACTTATGTGGTTAAACTAAAGGTCAAATAAATCCCTGCCCACTACTTATTTAAAGGTGTCTTGGTGGGAATTTGATATAGAATGACATCATTAATGGTAAGTGGCTAACTTTTGGAGGAGTGTGAACAAAAGTGCTAGGTCATAGTGAGAATTCAAATAATTTTATTGGTTACACACTCCCTTAAACTAGAAAGTGTGTTTATGAAAAAGTCTGTACATAAGAAAACAGAAAAGCGTTTGCTAAAAGATTAAATAATACATTTTTAAAAGATTTTTAAATTATAAAAATGACAATTAGTTACATAACATCAAGTACTTTAAAAAACCCTTGAAATCTATTCTTCCTACTGTAGAAGCACTCTATTGGTAAAAAGTCTTTCTGACAACCAGAGTTTATTATAATACCCAATATTCCCCAGTTAGAAATAAACTCCCCCTCTTCTAAACTACCACAGTATTTTGTTTATGGCAAGTATTCCAAATAACTACAATTTAGGTAAGACTATTTCTACCTGAAAAAAAAGCTACTTGTTTTATTTCTACCTTCAATCTACTTGAAGGCAGGAATTGTATCTTACTCATCAGTGCCTTGCATACAGGTATTCAGTAAGTATCTGTTAAATGAATGAATAAAAATCTAAAGATCTTTTTGTCTGTGTAAGTTACGCAATCACAATCAGATTTTCTTCAGTAGATTTCACTACTATGGAAAAAATAGTGCTTTGTAGGTGTACTAGAATGGCTACATCTTCATACTCCTCATACCCATTGATATTATGATTTCTTTATATGTACTAGTGTTTTTTTAAAAACTTCCCAGCTACAAATCATTTACATCATGCATCTGTACAATGTATCAGTTACTTCCTTCCTCAATACCCTGTTTTGAAGTGCAATTCTTCCTGAAGATGAACAAGTGCTGAAATGTAGTCATCTGTGGAGTGGAAGAAGGTAAAATATACATCAGGGAATTGTAGGAAAAATGAGTACTCTCAACTGATACTACTCTAAATCACTAAAGTTTTGAAAAGCACTAAAAAGTCTTCAAAAATGGTTCTACAAAAATTGATTGAGCACGGGCTGCGAACCAAAGTGTCGCAGGTTTGATTCCCAGTCAGGATACATGCTTGGGTTGCAGGCCATGACCCCCAGCAACTGCACATTAATGTTTCTCTCTCTCTTTCTCTCTCCATTCCCTCTCTAAAAATAAATAAAAAAAAATATTTTTTAAAAATTGATTACTGTATTTTTAACTAATAAACTGGGATTGATCCCTATATTTTTAACAATATTGTACAAAGCCAACACAGACCAGAATAACATTTGAAATATAGCCAAAATGTTTGCAAGATATATTTATTTTTATATGTACTTATGTAAAAAGAGTGCTATTTTTAAAACATAGTGCCCACCTAATAAAGTATGAGTTTGTAAGATGAAAAAAGAAATTACACTGAAATAAAAGTTAAAAATGGATCATCAATTATCAGAAATAGACACATTAGAAATGAAAACCTTAGAGCTAGAATTGGGAAACAACACTAATTATACAGTGAAAAATATTAATTATAGTAATTGTAACATTGTTTTAAAGCACTTTATCATTTCTCAGGTGATCTCCTTTTAAATTTGTTGTTCATAAAAACAGAATAAAAATTATTATCTTATTTTAATGATACTAAAAGCTCAAAATTATGTGAAATTATGAATGACTAGCAAATATGACAGCTGGGATCCCAGGGTGTCAAACTGAAAGACCAACAAGCTTAAAAACAGCTGGGGATAAGTTCACAGTAACTGATACAGCAAATAACCTAAAATAAAT